AGCTTCATTGTTTACTCGTTCTAGCTTGTCTTTGGAACGGATTTTCTTGGCAATGAGTGACCCATCAGAGGCCACATATGTTTCGACGTCCACATCGTGGTCGTCTTCATGGTCTGTAAAGACCTCCCCATCAACCGTGAACGGGTAGGGTCTGGCGGTGGTACAGAATCTTGAACCTTTTTGAGGTACTCTCCCCATAGACGGCGCCAAATGTTTTGGGTGTTTTTGTCCCTTGGGAGAGTTACAGCTCGAAGACTGGTCTGGTAGCGCCTGTACCTACAAAATAACGAAGACTTCGGGTGGTTGGAGCTCTGCCTCCGACGATCAAGTTAGATAGTGTTGGAGAAAGTGAAACGGTGCGGAAAGTAAAGTGAGATCTTCTTGGATTCTGAGATAATGTGTTTTCTTTGATGAGAGAGAATGTAGAGTGGTGTAATAAATGGTTGAATCTAACCTAAAAATGGGGGATATCTCCCTATTTATAAGATCGTTGGAAATTGTGCCCTCTCTTAGGTTTTCTGACCTAGATTTGGGGCCTGCGTCGTTTTGAGGCTTTCTCGAGAATTACGCCTTGAAGGCCGCAATTTCAGCAGATATCTTAGGCTAACATGTGTCAGTTGGTGAGCGCTCAGGTGGAGTTGTCCAGGCTTAACACGTGTCTATCTCTGATTTGTCCACGTATTTATGGTATTTTTACCCTAAACAATACCAAAGTATTCGTCTCTTCAGAGACATCTGATAAAATTGGAACGATACAGAAAAGAGTAGCATGGCCCCTGCACAAGGATCACATGCATAAATGATACCAAAATATTTAGTAGTACCAACAAATCCAAAAATATTTTATTGGTATCAACATATTATTTGTTGGTATTTAGATGATATTATTTAAACACAAGTTAGGGCCTATTCTTTTTAATTTATTTTCAGTTCAGTTTTATTCAATCATTATTTTTTCCTCATATAAAATATTCAGTTCAATTTTGTTCTGTTTAATTCAGTCAATTAGAACAAGCCCTTAATACCAATGCCAATTTTTAAATGAGCTGGTAGAGGTGTCCACCGTGCGAGTCGTGCGAGCTGGGTTAGGGTTAGGTGGGTCGCGGGTTGGGGTTTCATGACACACGGCACGACACACGTAGGGTAGGGTGGGCCGGGTCGTGGGTTGGGTCGGAGAAGTTGGACACACCAGGGTTAGGTTCGTGGGTTAGACGAGTCGTGGGTGGGTCGAGCTGGGTTTGTGGGTTAGACGGATCGTGGGTGGGTCGAGCTGGGTTTGTGGGTTAGACGGGTCATGGGTGGGTCGAGCTAGGTTCGTGGGTTAGACGGGTCAAGGTGGGTTAGTGAGTAAGGGTGGGTCGAAGGGTGGGTTAGTGGGTTAGGGTCGGGTGGGTTTGTGGGTTAGGTGGGTTAGGGTCGGGTGGGTTTGTGGGTTAGGGTCGGGTGGGTTTGTGGGTTAGGTGGGTTAGGGTCGGGTGGGTTTGTGGGTTAGGGTCGGGTGGGTTCGTGGGTTAGGGTCGGGTGGGTTGTGTGGTGTTTTAATTTTTACAAAATTAACAATTTGATGGCTTGCTCTTAATTAAGATGCCTACGTATCCTTATATTATAAAATAAGGAATCAAAGCCAGCGTAGTTCTTATATTGTACTTCTTTTGAAATTTGGGGGGGGGGGCTTGGACCTATCTTTAGAAAACTAAAATTTAATTTTGCAATTAAATTGTAATTTTCGAAAAATAAGTTGCCTACGTATCCCGAAAGAATCAAAGCCCACGTAGTTCTTAGCGTACCTGATTTAGACTTTTCTAGCCACCCATGTTTGTTGCATCATCATCCCCGGAAGCTGCATCATCCGTTGACGACTCCAATATCATCACATGATCATCTTCATCGTCTTCGTCTTCCTTTAAACCTTGAGTTCTTCTTTCAGCTTGATCCCAATCTTTCTTACAAACACAAATTTGAATGCTTTCCGGAGTTAAGCGAGATCTTTTTTCATCTAACACTCTTCTACCTGCACTAAAAGCAGACTCGGAAGCAACAGATGAAGCGGGAACTGCAAGTATATCTTTTGCAATTCTCGCCAATATAGGAAAACTTTTTTTATGTTCTTGCCACCATTTTATAATTTGAAAGTTGTTGTTGGTCTCATGTTGATATGACAAATAATCATTAATAGCAAGTGTTGAAGAAGATGATGATGAGAATGATGTAGATGCTTTGTGTTTTTTTTTTCATAACTTTATCAAGAAAACCAAATCTAGAATCGGAAGTGCTAGTAGTAGTTGGTGTTGCCAAATCAAAACCATAAATAGATGCATAATGATCATAAAGGTCTCCCAAAACAGATTTGCATTTGTTAATATATTCACTAACATCATAATCGATACTTAAACTTGTATAATAAAATTCTAAAAGATTTTCCAAACCTTCAGCTTTGACACCGGGGTCAAGAATAGCAGCAATTCCATAAATGATTGGAAATTCACTAAAATAAGTATGCCACTTACGTTTCATGCTATCAAGAACGGGACGAAGTCCATCAATCTTCATATGCTCTTCGATGGTGTGAACAACTTTAACACACTCAATTATGACTAAATGAACGTTAGGCTCATAAATATAAGAGAAAATATGAGTTGCACTATCAAAAGCATTTAAAACATCACGAACAAAAGAAGCATTAGTCCAATGACTTTCGGTTATTAACTCAGTAGGATCAACACGAGTCTCATTGTAAAGTTGGGTCAAAATATCACGATACTTTATAGCATCACTCAACAACTTGAAAGTAGAATTCCAACGGGTAGGGGTATCAATAGACCATTGTCTTTTCTTAAGACCTCTCTCTTTACACATAGCTATGTACTTTCTTCTAACTGACTGAGTAATCCTAATCCATTTTATAACTGTTCTAATTGGGTTTAGCAATGGTTGCAACTCAGCGAGACCCTCTTGAACAGACAAATTCAAAATATGAGCACAACATCTAACATGCAAGAGACTACCACCCAACAACAAATTCAACTCGGAGTCATTTTTCAAATAGTCAATACACTTTGTGTTTGCAGTTGCATTATCAAGAGACAAAGAAAAAACTTTATTATTCAAGTGAAATTCTTTTAAACAATCCAAAATACGAACTTTGATGTTAAAACCGGTATGCCTTTCTTCCATAGCTTGAAAACATACGTTTTTGAATAAACCAATCATCATCCACCCAATGAGCAGTAATGCAAAGAAAAGGTTCGCCAAAACTAGAAGTCCATGTATCACTTGTAAAACTAACACGACCATCAAAAGTACGAAATAATTCAATCAAACCACTCCTATACTTATAATAAGAAGTTTGTGTATAACGTCTTAGGGTATTTCGGGGGACACGAGTAAATGCAGGTTGTAATGCAACTTTATTAAAATGCTCAACGTTTGCATTTTCACCGTAACTAAAAGGGTATTCATTAGCAATAACTAAAGTACTCATTTCATCAATCATTCTATCTTTATTATAAATGAAAGGTGTACCTCCGCCGGGTTGGTTCATGTATCCACCCAATTGTGTTTGGACGCCACCCCCGAAGGACGGGGGCCATTTTCGAACAAGTCGTGTTTATTTTGCAAATGCCGACTCAAGGTTCCGGTTCCATCTCCCGTTTTCCAATTATATGACTTGACATTTGCACCTAGCGCCTTGCAAACTAGGCATGTACACGTGAACCTCTTTGGTTGACCAGGTTGTCATCCCGGGGGTGTGACCTCAACTCGTTCAAAATGTTTCCACACCCAAGAAAAATGTGCTCGACCTCTACTTTCACCGCCACCACATTTCATAAATCAAATTATTAAAATTAATTTTTAAATGCTATTCATGAAAATAAGCTTTTAAATTTTAAATATTTTAATTATACTTATTTAAACGCATTTTTCATGGTAATTAACTAATTGTAAATCATAGAAAATTGGAAACTAAACTAACTTTATAATCATTAATAATAGTTTTTTTAAATATTCATAACAATAAAAATTTAATTAGAAATTACCTTGAGATGAAGGTTGAGATGTTGGTTGCGATGGAGGTGGCATAGTTGAACTTGATGATTGGTGGGACTCGTGGGAGAAATGTTGTGGTGGAGACGTTTGAATATTTTGCCTATCTCCTAAACCATAATCTCCATATTCATTGACAAATTGGTTTAAATTTTCCGTATTAATTTCATACGAAAAATTTGCACCACCACTCCTTTGGCTACCACTTCGACCACCACTTTGACTCCTTCCCATTCCTCCTCTTGAGCTCATTTTTTTTTGTATGATTACTAATTATAATATGGAGAAGAACTTTTTTTTTTTAGAATCTTAAGAATACTAATAATAATATTAAGGAGATTTTTTTTAACAAAAATATAACTCTATATAACACTTGAGAATTTGAGAACAATAAGAATTTTTAAGTAAGAGAGAAAGAAAGCTTGAATTTGTGTGGAAATTTGAGTGAAATGGAATTGGTATTTATAGGAAAAATAGAATGGATGATCATACACTTAAAAAACTAGCCGTTAGATACAAAAAACTAGCCGTTAGATACAAAAAACTAGCCGTTTTTTTTTTAAAATGGATGTTAGGCCGTGCGAATTGTGCGGGCTGTGCGGGCCGTGCGGGTTGTGCGGGCCGTGCGGGTTGTGCCGGCCGTGCGGGTTGGGTGGGTCATGCGTGCGGGTTAGGTGGGTTGGCTCGTGCGGGTTGGGTGGGTCATTCGTTGCGGGTGGGCCGTGCGGGCTGGGTTGTGCCAGGTGGGTCGGGTTAGGTGGGTTCACGGGCTAGGTGTGTCGAATTAAATGAGTCAAAACGGGTTGTGCGATTTGGGTCGAATCAAACGGGTTAAACTGAGCTGGGTTGAAATGGGTTGTGTCGAAAATTTTGGACCCACGACACAACCCGGATTAAATCCGAGCTGTGCCGGGCTGTGCCGGATTGAAACCGGGTCGGACCCACGTGACCCACCAGCCGTGCGAGTTAGGGTGGGCTGGGTCCAACCCGGCCCACTGGCCACCTCTATGAGCTGGTCTGCTGGACCTTTGAGTCGCATAGAATTTGCCCATTGAACCTTTTTTTTTTTTTTTTTTTTTTTTTTTTTTTTTTTTTTTTTTTTTTTGGTGTAATATATCACTTCCCGCCTCACACACTCTTCTCCATCTCAAACTGAATCACCATGGGAGAAGAGAAGAAGAACAACAAGCGCCGCCGTCCCGACACCGACAATTCAAATTCCGACACCGACGATTCTCTCTCCACCATCAAAACTCCTTATCTTTCTCACAAATCCGCCCCTTTCCAAAAACGCCTTAAACCCGACACCACAATCCTCGAATCCCTCAAACAACTCGCTTACTCCATCAAAAACCCTCCTCCTTCCTCCTCTAAAAAACCTATTACTCTCGCCGACGTCTCTGCTTCTCTCTCCTCCTCCTGCCGTGAAGTTACCGACCTTTCTCTCTCCTCCGTTCAGTCAGAAATCGAAACCCTCGTTTTATCCCTCACTAAATCTATTCTCGCCGGAAATGGTTTCTCCTTCAGTGTACCCTCCCGTGCTTCATCCAACCATCTTTATATTCCTGAGCTAGACCGTATTGTTCTTAAAGACAAGTCCTCTTCTCGCCCCTTTGCCGCGGTTGGATCTGTCCGTAAAGCTACTGTGACTGCCCGGATTTTGTCGCTGATTCACCAGCTTTGTCTCCGTAGCATCCATGTTACGAAGCGTGATTTGTTTTACACTGATGTGAAATTATTCCAGGATCAATCTCAGAGCGATGCTGTTTTGGATGATGTTTCTTGTCTTCTTGGGTGTACTCGGTCGAGCTTGAATGTGGTTGCTTCTGAGAAGGGGATTGTTGTGGGTAGGCTTGTGTTTAGTGATAATGGAGATATGATTGATTGTACGAAAATGGGTGTTGGTGGGAAAGCGATTCCGCCTAATATTGATCGTGTGGGGGATATTCAGAGTGATGCATTGTTTGTTCTTTTGGTTGAGAAGGATGCCGCTTTTATGAGGTTGGCTGAAGATCGGTTTTACAATCGATTTCCATGTATCATCATTACTGCGAAAGGGCAGCCGGATGTTGCCACTAGGTTGTTTTTAAGGAAGTTGAAGCTTGAGTTGAATTTGCCTGTGTTAGCTTTGGTGGATAGTGATCCATATGGGTTAAAGATCTTATCGGTTTATGGGTGTGGCTCAAAGAATATGTCGTATGATAGCGCAAATTTGACTACACCAGACATCAAATGGCTGGGTATTAGGCCAAGTGATTTGGACAAGTATAAGATTCCAGAGCAATGTAGGTTGCCAATGACGGAGCAGGATATTAAAACGGGCAAGGACTTGCTGGAGGAAGATTTTGTGAAGAAGAATCCTGGTTGGGTTCAAGAGTTGGAGTTGATGGTTAAAACCAAACAGAAGGCTGAAATTCAGGCTCTCAGCTCTTTTGGGTTTCAGTACTTATCTGAAGTTTATTTGCCCCTCAAGTTGCAGCAGCGAGATTGGCTCTAATTCGATCTGTTTTGTATTGGTATTGAAGAGTGTCAATACTTGTATGCATAGAGGCAATGTGCATTGGCAGTGCGTATTATGTATCTGAGATTTTGCTAACAAGATGTATCTGAAATCTTTTTTACATGTCATATTTCTGAGTTCCAAGAGTCCTGTTATATTAGTTTGTTGTATGAAATCATTTTTTACATGTCCAATATTTCTTAGTTTGTTCTTGGTTATGACGATTAAGATGCATAGTTGCATACACTAAGTGTCATGGACGCAGGGGTGTGTATTGCCCAAAGCATCCACAAGTGTGACAGAATTTGCTCGTATTAATGAAATAAAAACAGTAAGTATTTTATTTCACCATTTCTATTTATTGGAATTTCTGTATTCATACAAGGCTCAGCTTACATAGCTATATAGCTGTATGAGATATTTCGTATAAAAATGTTGTTAGATTTATTACAGTATGAAATAATGTACATGTACAATTAATGTCTATAGCCAGCATCCGACCTTTGTAACCAATGGTTCAAAGATTTCCTTGGGACCAATAGCCTTTGCAGTACTGCAGGTCGTCGAGCTGAAGTGTCTAGACTATTAGGCAAATCACTCATTTTAGGAGCACCTCTCGAGTTTGAACCTAAATTGGAAGCACTTTCTTTATCTTTGGTTCTGTCAATTGTCATACCTGGATCTTCTGCAATGACTTCAAGCCCAAGTTCCTTCTTCAAAAGATTTTCTATTGCATCTCTGACCATACACCGTACGCCTACTTTTGTGATTCCTATGATAACTGTTAGATCATCTTTTACAGAACATCCTGCAATGAAATAAGAAGTTGAACACTATTGGATAACAATATTGCTGTTTATGGGACAACAAAAAATCGAAAGGAAATAGAAAGGCATATGATGTATATTAAAGAACAGCTAATTCAACTTAGCTGTCTATGCTGTACTAAAATGCTTTTCTAGTTTGGCAATTTCCTCCCCCCCCCCCCCCTCCCAGCACACACAATCATTGTACTTCAATTCCATTTTCATACCTGATTTATAATTTTCTTTAATCATACGTAAAGCTGCTAGAACTACAAGCCGAGCTTCTACCTGCACAACAAGTAGAAAACGTTCAATGAAGAAAAAGGCAGAGAGCTGAAGGCTTGAAACTGCACTCATATCAAATTACAACTCAGTGGAGTCTGTAAAGTGGTAGATAAGTTATAAAACTTTCAACATTACAAATATACCATGATTAGGAGAGTCTTCAATCAAGACTAAACAACAATATTCAACAGATTGACCTTTTGACAAAAGTGCTATGCTTAGTGTGTGACTCGGATTTTGTTAAAAAAAAGCTAAATAAACTCAACTATCCTGGCTTTTGCTACGGGCTCAACTTTGAAGCTCCAGACAAGCACTCTAAATAATAGGCTTGCTATGCAGATTCAATTGTGTAATAGGTAGTCAGAATTGCACACATCAATTCTATGAGGCAACATTGGGTGGGGAACCTAAACCATCTCCTGTTTTCTCTATAGTCTATAAACTATGCCTACTTGCCTTATCAAGCCAAGGAAAATTAGAAAAGATTTGCTGCTTTGATGCCACTGTCTTGATTACTTTGAATGTGAAAATCTTAATTAATAGCCAATTTGTTTAACTCAGGAACAAAATCATATCAAGGTCTCATTAGAGAAAGAATAAAAAAAATCCAAATTTCTAATGGTGGTACATGAAGATGGAAATAAAGTTTAATAAATTGATTAGCATTAGTTATAATTTGCTTTTTCATCTATTTTTATTAAAGCAATGCAGAAGAAAAGAGGCGGGATCTCAAGTCCCAAAAATTTGTATCTCTTCACTACAAAATGAAATGTTGCGTGTAATGAAAAAGCAAAGCTTCAAATTAATAGTACTTCAAATATATATTCAATGAGAAGATAATACCTCAGTCAATCTTATGCTAACAATAACAGAATTAGAATAACTATATCTTGAGATTCAATACCAAACAATGGATTCAACTGAAGTTATACAGATTTTGTGTTTTAGCTGAAGTAATTACATTGATATACAACATAAAAATTAAAATAAAATTATTTAATTGGTTATTTAAGAGAAAATAATAAATATAAGTGAATATTTATATTTTAGTAATTCTTTTTTTTTTTTAGGTTACACCATTAAACATACCTTTGTCAGCCCCTGAATATCAACTGCAAGACTTTTAACTGTGTTCTTCCGTAAATGGGTTGCTACCCTTTCAAGAATCTGACTTCGCATTTCCCCTAGGTCAGCTTTGTTGCGTGAATATGAAAGTCCTTGCAGATTATTCCCTTGAATTACTCCTTCACACCATTCTTCAATCAGTAGTTTAAGATAGTAGTCATTGGATTTGTAGCTGATAGATAAAGTTAATGGAAAATCAAGAAGCATGTGAGAAAATATTATTTCATCAGAGCATGATATGCTGTGGAAACATATATCCATAAATATCAAGACTTTGACTGAGTCCCAACATTCAAAACATTCAACATGCATGTGTATAAATCTTATGAACAGTATCATGCATGTGTATAAATCTTATGAACAGTATCATGCATGTGTATAAATCTTATGAACAGTATCATGCATGTGTATAAATCTTATGAACAGTATCATGCATGATATGATGATTGATACAATATCACCAGCTATAACACATAGCTGAACTGCAGGAAGCTGAAAGGCAGCAAAGCAAGATATTAAATGATTCAGGCCCCATAACACTGCTCCCCAGCAATTTTTAAGTCAAAATAATATGAACAACTGACAAGTTCACATGAGGCATAATGACTCCAGTAGTTATTTGTCTTCTAAACAATAAATCAATTAATAAAAGCCTTAATCCCATAAATGGGGTCGGCTACATGAACCAAATTTGATTATCTAGTGTGGTCATCCACAAAAATCTTCCTCTTCCATCCCTTACGATCCAATACATCATCATCATGCAACTCCATATACTTCATAATTCATATCCTTCCTAACTCCTTCCAACTAAGTCATTTTCGGTCTCCCTCTCCCTCTTTTAACCCCTCCATAGTCCCACTCTTCCACTCTTCCACTCTTCGTACCGGTTACATGCCCAAACCAAAGCAGACGATTTTCCCTTAGTTTGCACTCCTACTTTCTTGTGAATAACCTCAATTCTGATTCTATCTCTTAGATCGTATATGTTGTTTATGTTCAGCTTGGTGGATACTTTTAAATATTTTATAAAATAATATAGGTTCCGTTTAGTATGACGAAAAACATTTTCAACGAAAACAGATTTTTCATTAAAAAGCACAATTACGATGTAATTTTCCTTCGTTTGTAAATGGGAGTGAAAAGGTGAGGATGGATGAGGAAAAAAAAAGGAGGTTAGAGGGAGGAAAATGTGACATCCCTTCTTTTGTAAATGAAAATGCTTTCCACTTAAGGCTAATTTTTCCACAATTAGAAACTTGTTTCCCACCCCTTCACTAAACAAACATAGGAAAATGAAGGAAAATCATTTTCCATGAAAACATTTTATATCAAACCAAACACTCCAAATAAACTTATAGTGCTAATTGTGCATACATGATATATCTTACTTTTTTTTTTTGAATGGGACGTGATATAGTTAACTTAAATATAACTATATGATTTTTATATGGAAAATTTGTCACAGACCCTCTTAACAATTTATTTTTTTTAAATTTTTTGTTAAAACATATCGTATTTCAAACCTTTTTTTTTTTTTTTTTTTTTGTCAAAAGCCACTTTTATCTGAAATATGGTCATTGACACATTATTCTGGCCTTGACCCCCACATCACTACCACACCACCTCCACCCGCATCATCATTGCCGCCCTACCACTCATCCTAACGACCTAACTACTCTCCCAAACGAAAATCACCCCTCACCATCCCAAAACCCTACCCTAACCTCTCGAAAATCACCCACACAACCTGAAATCACCCCTCATTGGCCTAAAACCTACCCTAGCCAGTCGGATACCACCCCTCTCACCCAAGAAGTCCACCATACAACCTCCTCTTTTCCCCACCGTCGAAACCTTCTTCCCTCTCCTTGCATCTTTTCGGTAGTGAATGGGGAAAGGATGGCTAAGGGTTTTGGGGTGGGGGAGGGCGGTTGAGGGTTTTGCAAAGAGGGGGAAAGGGTCTCTAAGGTTTTAGGGGAAAGGGTCTCTAGGGTTTCGAGGGGAAGGGGAAAGAGTCTTTAGGGTTTGGGGAAGGGGGAGGGTTTTCCGAAGTTTGCTGGGTGGTTAAGGCAAAGGGGAGAGGCAGCAAGAGTGAAGGGAGAGACAGTTGGGTCTTCAGAGGGAGGGGAAGGGTGACAAGGTGATAGGTGGGTGGCGAGATGGGGTTTTGGGCTGGTGAGGGGTGATTTCAGGTTCCAAGGGTGGTTAGGGCTGTGATAGAACTGAAAAGCTAGTTCATATAATGGTGGTGGGTGGCCGAGTAAGGGTCAACACCGGAATAGTGGTTCAATGACCATATTTCGAGTAAAGGTGGCTTTTCACAAAATAATTTTGAAAGTAGGGCTATTTGGACAAAAGAAAAAATAATAAGGTGGTTTTTGACAGAATTTGTGTTTTATAAGGTGGTTTTGACAAATTTTTCTTTTTGTATATATTTTTGTTATAATTTCTTAGTTTTAAAATGCTTATATAATTAGCTTTACTACATAAGCATCAATAATAATTTGCTTATAAAAAGGTTATTAAAAAAGAATAAAAAATATTGTAAAAAGGAGACAATAAATAAAGGATGATCTTCCATAATTTAATACTCCTTAAAGAAATTCCTTTGAACGCCAAGATATTCTCTGAATCGTTCAAAACTTGCATTCGGAAGTGCTTTTGCAAATATATCAGCAATTTATTCTTCGGAAGTAAAAAAAACTAAGCTGAACTTTGTGCACTTTAAACTTCACGCATGTAATTTTATTTTAATATGTTCTTTTTTTTTTTTTTTATTATGAGTATCAAATTCTTCGCATTAGCGATAGCATATTTACTATCACAATATATCTTTGTGGGTTGTTTTTGAACTTCTCCCATTTTTGTTAAAACTCTTCTTAGCCGGATTGTCTGATTTGCTGATGCACATGCTGTAATATTCTGCTTTTGTAGTTGATTGAGCCACAATATCATGCTTTTGACTTATCCAAGAAAATTCACCATTTCTAAGTGAAAACATGTATCCCAATGTATTTTTCATGTCAGTGATAGATATAGATCCAGCTCAATCACTCTCAAAATATCCAGCAAGTTCCAAATTTTTACTAGTCGTGTACCATATTATGTAATATGAGGTTCCTTTTAGAT